CAGTCAGGCGGCGGGACTCTCGGAGCAAGCCTTGCGCCTCGGGGCGGCGAGAGTGGAGCGCGTCGAGGGCGGGCGCGTGGTCCCGGGGCTGGGCGGGCGCTCCGGGTGCGGGATCCGCCCGCCGCGCCCCCCTCGCCTAGCCGTCCCGAGACCACGCGCCCCTCCGCCCCCGTCGCCCCCGCCACCGGGATTGGGGGCCAGGAGAGGCGGGGCAGAAAGGTGGAGAGGGGCTAGGGGAAGAAGGAAGAGGCGCTGAGGGCTGGGGGACGGGCTGGGAGGGAGACGTTTGACAGGTTTGTTGACTGTAAAGAGAGAAAACTTCCCAGGAATGAGGGAGTTGGGGTGGGGTGCAGAGGCAGATGCTGGCGCGGGGGACGGGGAGGAAGTAGGCCTGGGGCGCAGGGTGATACGGAGAGGGGTGTCAAAGTTGCTGGCCGGCCAGACTGTGCACGGATCACCTCCTCCCGGGGTCCCGCCCCGCGGAACACCCCATCCTCAGCCTCTCCTAAGCCTGGAAGGACGCCCCAGATGCCCTACCTCTTTATCCCAGGCTCACTGGGGGATATTTGACCGCGGGACGAATCTCTTTCCCGGGCGCGCATGAGCGAGCGCAGGGCAGGGGGTGCGGCTTCCCAAAGACCGAGGGGTCAGAGTCTCTGCAACCCCACCTCCAGGAGCGTCCACTCCCCGCCTCGCGTGTCCACGGTCCGTGCCTCACTTTCTTCCCCAACTTGGCCAGGGCACAGGGGGTGGGAGGGCCAGCTGCAGGTGAGATGGCGCTTATCTGATTCTCCTCTGCCACAAAAATGTCTTTGATGCCCCTGCCCCCCTCCCCAAGCAGAGAGATCAAAGGCCCCGTGGGGGGGGGCAGCTCCATTCATCGCGCCGACCGAGCTGGCAGCGGGCGGCAGCCCCCTCTCTTCCAGCCGGGGCAGAGCCCCCTCCCCGACATGTCCCAGGGATGCCGAAGGACAGGTGTTGCGGGGCATTCCACAGCAGGGGCCAGTCCCCCTATCACCACCATTTGGCGTGGCCACCAGCCTTTAAGGGTATCGTGGGGTGTGGAGGACAGATCGTGGACCTCAAGCCTGTGTAAATGACACTTCAGGGGTGGGAGGAAAGTTCCTGGTTATTTGGGGAGCAAGAGGGAGAGGAGAGCTCCTGAGCTCGGGTAATGAGGCCACCACAGGAAAGACTAACACCTGCGGTGACAAGAAGAAGAAAGGAACCTGAGTTCTCCAGAGAGTGCGGACAAGTGGATCAAGATGAGGCTGAGTGACAAAATCCTCAGATGCTGCCCCAGGCAGATGTGAGACAGGAAGAATGACCAAGATGAAAAGATGTAGGGAAATGTTGGTTTGGGGACATAGGAAGCCCCTGGATTTCCTGGGAACATACTCCAGGACGCTGGTGTCCAACCTGATGTGCTAGGGTACAAGGATCTGGTGAGGAGGCTGGGGGCGGGGCATGATGGAAGACTGAGGGAGCTGGTAAGGGGGGAGTGGCCCAAGTGCTGCCCCATTTTAACCTTTCACAGCACCTACAGCCACGCACAGCCCCCTGCACAAATCTTCTGTTTCTGCTGGGCAGTGTCCATCCGGACATTTGCGCACTTTCAGACACATCCGGGTTGGGCACACACTCCAGGCCAGAGGGCACCCAGCAGATGCCTGGAGAGCTCTGGGGTCTCCTGGAGGCTGCAGGTGGCCATTGACCAGCCCCCAGGAAGTCACCGGTTGGGTTCCAAACCCCTTGCCCACCCCTGCCCCCACCCAGCTACTGTTATTGCAGATTATGAAATGCTCTCCGTAGCCTGCATTCTTCTCCGAGGCAAGAATTTTAATGTATTTGTCTTTGTCATCAGGGGACCTGGGCTCTGGGACCGCCTTAGCCTCTGCCTGATGAGGGAGCACCCCAAATCAGTCCCTACTGCCTCCAGACCCCAGCCTCTCTCCATTACCCCCTCCCCATGGCCTAGCCCTGCCCCTTGCCCCCCGGCTCGGACACAGCCTCTCTGTGGGGCGGATAAAAATGATGTTATTGAAACAACAGAATTGGGAGCAGTGGCAGGGAGCAGGGATCAGCTCAGGAAACTGGGGCGCTTGCCAAGAAGCCTTCTCCCCCGCAGGCGGCCTTTCTGCCCCCACCCCCCACCTTTCCTACAAACAGGAACAGCCCGCCCCACCCCTTCTGCAGCACTTGCTCTGGCCAGAGCCAGCAGAATCTTTTGCCATCCCTGGGCTCCTCAAGCCCTTGTCCTTCTTCCAGAGTTCCATTGGAGTCAGTTGGCCCAGGGGTGCCCACACAAGCACTGGGCAGGACAGGCTGGGGTCTGCGATGCACAGAACTTCTGAAGCCAGAATTCCCAGGGCCTCAATTCCCAGAGCAAACCTTGCCTCTGCCCACCCTTTCTTGCCCTCTGAATTCCCACCTGAGGGTTGCCTGGCACCTGGGCCAACTGAGAGCAATGACTTCCACTCTTATGTCCCCAAACCTCCAGAGAGATGACATTAGATGTTCTTGGGGCTTCACTCCACCCACTACCACTTCAGAAGACTTCCACAGAGCAGGACTCAGAGGACAAGAAGCTACAGAGAGAGGCACACAAAGAGCAACATGCATGCGTGCACACACAGCTGGACATAGGCATGCAGATGTTGTTGTTAGTTGTTGTCAAATAGAATTCTGACTATGGTGACCCCGTGTGTGCAAATTAGAACTAATCCATAGGGTTTCCAAGGCTCTGACCTTTCAGAAGCTGTTGGATAACCTCTCAGAAACCACAGGGCACCTTTACCTCCTCCAGACAATGCTGGATAAATTTCATGCAGAGGAATAGGTATGGGTGGACACACAGATGGGCTGGCTCAGGCTGGGATACATGCCTGCCTCCCTGGAGATCACAGGGACACACACACACATACATGCACATGCACACACATGCATACACAGAACCTCTGTGCACATATGTGCAGAGGAACAATCATTCATAAGTGGTTGGAATGGAAACAGAGCAGCTCAGAACAGACACCAGAAACAGGGAGGTGCAGCTTAATCCCCTTCTCTGTGACCTCTGGGCACTGGGCCCTCTACCTCTTCCTCTGTGGGTCTGCCTGTGGTCCAAGGAACCTGTTAACTCCACTTCTAGAGCCTAGTGCAAAAGAGAGGCAGAGAAGGGGAGACATGGGTGTCTGGCTGAGAGGCTGGAAGGAGGGCCAGAGGTGGGGACTGTGGAGGGGGAGGCAGCTGGAGATAGATAACATCAGAATGGCTGCAGGCAAAGCAGGGCCCTCTTTCGGATTCTCTCTTGCTGTCTTTTGTGTGTCTTTTCACGTCTCTCCCATCTCCATAATTTGCTCTCTATTTGTGTCTGTCTTTAAATCACTTTCTCTGTTTCTTTGTTTCTCGGAACAACTGAAGCTGCAGGAGCCCAGGAATTTGGGCCTGTGACCCTTCCTCTCCCGGTAACCTCTCTCTCTCCCTCCCTGCTCATTTCCCTCTCTCCCTCTCCAGCAATGGGACCTAACCCTCACCCCTTTAGGGTGGTGTTGGGCTTGAGAATTCCTAAGGGCCCTGGGTCTCTGGATCCCAGGAGAACAGAGAGGAAAGGCCTCCAGAGAGATGGTGGGAAAGGGACAGATGGAGACAGAGAGGCAGAGAAAGAGAGACACAGAGAACGTTTTCTCCCAGCTGTATATCAGCCAGCTCTCCTCTAGCTTTTCCCCAGCCCACCTGAAGTCCTGAACTCACAAGAGTGCGCCTTTCCAGCTGAGGTGGGAGCTTGAATGCCTACTTCCCCACTTTAGCCATTCTGACCCCTGCCTCACAGAGTTCCCTCTGAGGAAGCCTCTGGGACTTTGTCCAAGGGAACCCCCACCCCCGGCCCAAGCCTACCTGCCTCACATGTTTCACACCTCTCAACTCGATCCATGCCCTCAACCCTGCAATCCCCCAACAGTCAAAGGGAGAGAGAACCCAGGGAATAGTGTGAAGAGGGGGGCAGAAGCTGAGGAGGGAAGGCTGCTGCCCACCCACCAGGAATGGGCTGGGGAAAAGCCAGGGAACATTTGTTTCCACTTAGCTCGGCCTCAGTGACCCCCAAGTGGGAGTGATTGGACCCCAGAGCCTCTCCAGCCATCTCAGCCCAGGCCTGGCTCCTGAGATACTGACTATGAGGTGGGCAGAGACCCCTGGCATGACCTCCACTCTCTCTTTCCTTCCCTTCTCCATTCTTCCAGGCAACACCATCTGTCCCCACTGCTCCAACCCTCCTCTTTGAGTGAAATGAGGCTCCTAAGTCTAGGTTCCCAGAGCCAGCCTCTCTCTTGATTGTGTTTCTGTCTGCTGGCTATCTTTCCTGGGGCAGCAGTCAGCACGTTTTTAATCGCACACCTACCACGTGCCAGGCACCTAGCTAGATTGTGGAGAAATGATGCTGAACAAAGGCAGACAAGTTCACAATGCCATCATTAATCGTATCGTCTCCCAAGCAAATGGAAAACCACTGGTTGGATGGAGGAGAAGGAGAGGAGTTGGGAGGAGCTCTGATGGGGAATTAACCCAGTCTGGGAGGGAGGATGGAGCATGGGTGTGCACGTGTGTGTGTGTGTGTGTGTGTGTGAAATAAGGTCTGTATGGGCTTGAAAAG